TTTCCCAGCCAAATGGAGTCAACATCTTTTGTTCACAAGATTCTTGGATTTTGGTCATGCTAGACCACCCCCAGGTAAACATGAACAATTAAATACACCACAATTGTCCCTGGAGATTCTGAAACTTGTTCTGATGGTACTTTTGGCTGGTGATATAGAACTAAATCCTGGACCTAATTCAAACATTAGTGATTTGGACTGGCTACAGCTAATTAGGCTAGTTAGCCTATGGGCACAGCTGTCTCTGCATTGCTTCCCACCTCAACTAACTGTGCTCCAACCACTGTCCCAGTTAGTAAGGCTACATCTGCAACTAATAGTGTTTACGCCCCTGTTGTCCGGGCCTCCGCTTCTGCTGTTTGGGTTACCACCTCAGCTGCTTGGGAATACGCCTCATTTGCTTGGGTTTCTTCATCAGCTGCCTGGGCCTCCATTTCAGCTGCCTGGGCCGCCATCTCGGCTGCCTGGGCTTCCACCTCAGCTGCCTGGGTTTCAGTCTTGGCTGCCTGGGCCTACACCTCAGCTGCCTGGGCCTCCACCTCAGCTGCCTGGGCCTCCACGTCAGCTGCTCGGGCCTCCACCTCGGCTGCCTGGGCCTCCACCTCGGCTGCCTGGGCTTCCACCTGCTGTACCCCAACTACAGTCTCCGATAAAGGGTTTCTCATCATTAAATGCTCATAGCATTGTCAACAAAAGGACAAGAAATCCTGCTATTAAAAGTTACAGAGGAACAATGATCTGCAAGACACTAAAAATAAACCAAAGGGGCTTCTATGTGGACACGTTAACATTCGCAGTATGTTACCAAAGCATGAGCAACTGGAACATATTCTAAGCAATTCCAATATTTCTATTTTGGGTATCTCTGAATCTTGGCTCACAAGTTCTTCTCCTGAGTCTGCGGTTGTCTTTCCAGAGTACACAGTATTCAGAAGGGATAGAATTGGAACAAGAGGAGGAGGAATACTTATGTATGTAAAAAACACACCTGGATTGCTCTTTACTTAGTTCACCAATAGATGTTGAAATAGGACATATTTCTGTTAAAATCACTCTTTCCCCAGAAATGTCATTTAGGTTGATCTGTTTATATCGCCCTCCTTCCGCAAAGAATATTTTTTATCAACAAGTACAGATATTACTTAAATATCATACTATAAATAATAAGTCTAATGAAATAATTGTAATGGGAGATTTTAATGTCAACTGGGACTGTTAAAAGAACAGAAAAACACTCAAGGACATAATGGAGACTTTAAACTTTACTCAACACATTGAACAACCCACAAGAATAACGAGACACTCTAGAACTAAAATAGATGTGGTTTTCAGCAATAAGCCCGAGCAAATTATTAAATCTTATAATTGTATCACTGGTATTTCAGACCACAATTGTATATTATTTTCTAGAAAACTTTTAAAATCACGGGTTAAGAATCACTTTCATAGTTCATCTAATAGGAGATCCTTTTATGAATTTATACCAAGAAGTCAGCAACAAAAGTAGCAGAAGCATTAGCATCAGCTAACTGGGAGCGTTTATTGTGTAGTGAAGATCCACAATTCTGCAGCAGTCACTTCACTGACACTGTCAAGGATGTTATATCGACAAACTCCATTAGAGGTCGACAAAAAATAAAGACAACATCTAATCTGCCCTGGTTAACTCTCTCAGGCTCAAATTAAGTTTTTGAGAATACCTGCAGTGGTACTTCTGAGTAAAAAAACTCATAAAATATGGATGTGGGGTAATCAGGTTGTTAGCTTTTACTTGTTGCAAATCTGCAACGCCCTTGAGAGGGTTAAACAAAGAGTGGAAGAATCTAATGAAAACAAGAGATCAATTACTAAAGCAGTTCCTGAAAACAGGTCTAACTCTAGATAGACAGAGATTTACTTCAATGCGGAACAAAGTAACAAGAAGTTTGAGTACAAGCCAAAGCAAATTTTTGGTAATGGTAAAATTATCTGGCAACACTTAAATAAATTACTTGGCCATCATTCAAACAAAAGCAAAAATACAATTGAACTTTATGTAAATAACTCTATTGTTAGAGAGCCTCTATCTATTGCCATTAACTGAAACACTTTCTTTATTTCATCTGTTAAGGAAATCAGTCAGAGCTTTGACTCAGTCGTATGCTCTGATAGTGTGAATGATGCTGTCAAAATTTGTTCACCATTACTCATATTTCAGACACTGAAGTTGCTAAACTAATTACAGGTTTAAAACAATC